ATTGGAAAGCTGCCACGGTCATCCCCCTCTTCAAAGGACACTCTAGATCCAAACTGTTACAGACCTATATCCATCCTGCCCTGCCTTTCGAAAGTTTTTGAAAGCCAAGTTAGTAAACAGATCACCAACAATTTTTAATCCCACCGTACCTTCTCCGCTATGCAATCCGGTTTCCGAGCTGGTCATGGGTGCACCTCAGCCACGCTCAAGGTCCTAAACAATATTATAACCGCGATCGATAATATACAGTACTGTGCAGCCGTCTTCATCAACCTGGCCAAGGCTTTCGACTCTGTCAACCACCACATTCTTATTGGCAGACTAAATAGCCTTGGTTTCCCAAATGACTGCCTCGCCTGGTTCACCAACTACGTCTCAGATAGAGTTCAATGTGTCAAATCGGAGGGCCTGTTGTCTGGACCTATGGGAGTCTCTATGGGGGTGCCACAGGGTTCAATTCTTGGGCCGACTCTTTTCTCCATGTATATTAATGATGTCGCTCTTGCTGCTGGTGACTCTCAGATCCACCTCTACGCAGACGACACCATTTTGTATACATCTGGCCCTTCATTGGACACTGTGTTAACAAATCTCCAAACAAGCTTCAATGCCATACAACACTCCTTCAGTAGCCTCCAACTGCTCTTTAACACTAGTAAAACTAAATGCACGCTCTTCAATCAAACGCTGCTGGCACCCGCCCACCTGACTAGAATCACTACTCTCGACGGGTCTGACCTAGAGTATGTGGACAACTACAAATACCTAGGTGTCTGGTTAGACTGTAAACTCTCCTTCCAGACTCACATTAAGAATCTCCAATCCAAAGTTAAATCTAGAATCGGTTTCCTATTTCGCAACAAAGCCTCCTTCACTCATTCTACCAAACATGCCCTCGTAAAACTGACCATCCTACCGATCCTTGACTTCGGCGATGTCATTTACAAAATAGCCTCCAACACTCTACTCAGCAAATTGGATGTAGTCTATCACAGTGCCATCCGTTTTGTCACCAAAGCCCCATATACTACCCACCACTGTGACCTGTACGCTCTTGTTGGCTGGTCCTCACTACATATTTGTCGCCAAACCCACTGGCTCCAGGCCATCTATAAATCACTGCTAGGCAAATCCCTGCCTTATCTTAGCTCATTGGTCACCATAGCAACACCCACCCATAGTATGCGCTCCAGCAGGTATATCTCACTGGTCATCCCCAAAGCCAACACCTCCTTTGGCCGCCATTCCTTTCAGTTCTCTGCTGCCAATGACTGGAACGAATTGCAAAAATCTCTGAAGCTGGAGACTCTTTTCTCCCTCACTAACTTTAAGCATCAGTTCTCAGAGCACCTTACCGATCACTGCACCTGTACACAGCCCATCTGAAATTAGCCCACCCAACTACCTCATCCCCATATTGTTATTTATTTTGCTCATTTGCACCCCAGTATCTCTATTTGCACATCATCTCTTGCACATCTATCATTCCAGTGTTAATACTAATTGTAATTATTTTGCACTATAGCCTATTTATTGCCTTACCTCCATAACTTGCTACATTTGCACACACTGTATATATATTTTCTCTTGTATTTTTTACTTTATGTTTTGTTTTACCCCATATGTAACTCTGTGTTGTTGTTTTTATCGCACTGCTTTGCTTTATCTTGGCCAGGTCGCAGTTGTAAATGAGAACTTGTTCTCAACTGGCTTACCTGGTTAAATAAAGGTGAAATAAAATAATTAAATAAAAAAGATCTTAGGTTGAAGCGAAAAAACCAAACATGGCGGCGTGCGCAAACTACCCATCGTCTGATTACTTTCGATTACTAGAAAGTGTTTTACTCAATTATTTAGATCAATGGTGAGCTCACCCGTGATGTGATTAACTATAAATAGTAATTGCTATTACCTAATTCATATTGTGGTTTCTGTCAGCTGAGAGTTCTCTAAATATCTTGTGTTACGTCAATCTTTCCTCAGGTAGTGCTAGAACTAATGTAGCCTACATTTTCCGATTTGGATGATTGTGTATGTGTCGCTACTTCTATGAATGTCTGAACATTGCATCCAAAAATAAACTGCTCACATTCAGGACATAACTTTGTAAGGACTGTGTTTGTGCGAAATGTTTCTGTGTAAAAAACAATGTGGCTAGCTCAAATGCTGACTGTTGCATCAATCAAAACTGGACGTTCTAAATATGCATTCTAATCAAACTGGTTTGATCGTACGCTGCAGGGACCACTGTAGAATGATCACACCCGTTTGTTGGTACGTGTGAAAGGGTTCATCAGTTTGGCTCATTGGACAGGTCAGAGACTGTTTTAAATTGTTGAGTGGTATGAAGGTTTTTGGCAATACACTTTAGATGTACTGAATGTGTTCCACAGTAGAGAGTGTTCCAGAATATAGAGACCCACCGTAGCTACTGTAATTTAGTACTGGCAGTGTCTGCTGTGTCAGGTGGGAAGGTGCAAGTTACCTGAAAATATCTAATCTCTCAATGTTTAATCTCAAAGTGCACCAAATTCATGCATTTAGCTGTTGAAATTCCTTTTTATTTTGCCGGGGGAGGATGCCCCTGGAGCCCCCTACTGGCTTTGGGTTAAGCCCCCAATGTCTTCAAATCCTAGAAACTACTCTGCTGTCAATCTGTCAAATTCCTGACAAATCTGTCAAAATCACTCTCCAGCATACATTAGTATGCCTGTTCAACACGGACTGTGTAATAAGACTGTGTAATAATAGGAATGTCGCTACATGTTCTGAACAAAATATTGACCGACTTGATGACTCATCCATGTTCATTTTTACCAAAGCTGATGCAAGGTAGAATTCAGAACCACATTAATGAATGAATGGACTTGAATTAAATATATGCAAGATTGAAAGCAGCTCTGTTGCACTCAGATAATTTATTATGGTTCCCTGCTACACTAATTATGTTATTTCTACGACGTTGGCAGAGAAAGCTCAGCATCAGAAGACAATCGACCACACAGCAGTTTACCCTACCGGTGGCAAGAGACCAAGTGGTGATGGATTTGCGATGCTTGTTTGGTGTATGACAATTCAGCCCATTAGGCTACCACGTATGATCAAAACTGCAGGAAATTCTAATAAAGAGTTTGAAGCACTCTGCCTCGAAACAGAGCTCAACAAGGAACGTACCCTGGCTATCCGTCCATCCGGACAAGCAAAGGATTAAGAATAAACGGCATCCCTTACCTAGTAAGAGCAGTTTTACCTCCCTTGCTGCCTTCTCTCCATCCTCGCGGAGATTTCTATCAATCATCTTTGATCTCTCCGTCGCAGCTTTATCTTCTGCACTTAATGTACAACCCATGTTTCCAAAAGCACGCGCGCACTGACGGCCGGCGCAAGGATTCTTGAACGACTTCGTCTTGACGTCTGTTTGATATGCCCACACAAGAGAAACTGTTAACCAAAATACTTCCCCGCCGGTTCAAGAGACGCGCACGTGCGAATTTTGCAATACTAACTAGAGGATGTCTAGTTTTATGGCACGCATAAAATGTCCAGAAAAATGACAGTCCTCGGTTGCGTTATTCTGAGTGATGTAAACTAATGTTCCATCAATATGTCCTGTGGGCCGAAGAGCAATCTTCTTGGAGGTCAAAGAATGCCGCAGAAAGTTGCAGTCAAATCTCGACTGGCTAAGCGAATTGTTTATGTAGTGTTGGCCGTTTATAATCAATATGATCAAATCTGACAGCCGCAACGATCTAGTCAATATTATTCCTCGTTCCTTCGTTTCTTCCGACCAAGTGAAGGTAAAGTGGAATCCAATCACATGGGCGAGCGACTGCGCTCTCAGAATCAACCGCGCAATCAAGAAAACATAGCTATCCAGTTGAAATCTGGAGAAACTGCTGGTGCACTTCAGCTGCCAACCTGCCGCCTGCTTTCTACCGGGATTTGTTGGCACCCTTTCTGCTCACAGTTGATATGTGACGTCGTAGATCTTTCACAATTCTTATTGTCTCACCACCCGTTGTGAAGTTTTCTGCAGAAATGCAATTGGACTACTGTATGTAAAGGTCCAATGCAGCCGTTTTATCTCAATATCAAATAATTTCTGGGTACCTTACTGTGATTGTTTTAAATTAAAATTGTCAAAATTTAAACCAAAATAGCTTTTTAGAAGGGCAACTTATCAAGCAAGAATTTAGCAAGGACTGTCTGGGTGTGGTCGGAGTGGCAGAGAGGTTTAGAACTCACTTTCTTTTTGGTCTATTAACTCATTTATTAACTAAATTACTGTTTAATAGGTGTAATTATCTAGGAATCCATGTTTTTTCCCCCAGATAACAACTAAGAAATGTGTCCATATATGTAAATGAACATGGGATGTGATGACAATAAAACATGTGCACTAGGTATGGACTGCACTAAAAATAGACATGGATCTATCTCACTTTACATAAAGTGTCCTACAATTGTATTGGGTACATTGATTGATTTTGGGTAATAACACATAAACGACACATAAAACAGATGGATGTATTCTTCTTAGTTTCTTTGGTATCCAAACTATTCACATATGATTTCATATTCAAAAGCCTATTCATGAACACATATTTTATGTAATCATGAACTACTTTAGGCTACAAATAACAAGAAAACACCCTTTCATACTGCCAACAACTAAGCACTGGTCTGCTGAAGGGACCCTCAAGCTGATTTTAGTCTGTTTCATGTAGGCCTACAGGGAACAGTTAGTCCTCTCCAAAATTATGTTGTTTTAATACTGATTAAAGAAGATTTGTGTTTCATATGAATGACTACAGTGTCTGAAATGTTTGGATGGTGTGAGGAGGGTTACCTGAGCTGAATACAGCTTATGACCTCTCAAGGAGCTTCATTTGCCCATCCATCTGAGAATAGTGGCAGGATTGAAAATTTATTCGATTTACACTGAACATGGCACAATACATTGGAACATTACATTTACATTTTAGTCATTTAGCAGACGCTCTTATCCAGAGCGACTTACATTTTTCATATGAAAAGGGTGCATGTTATTTTCTGTACTTTTTCTACTGAAGCATCCGAGAAGGCACATTCTCATAACCCAGTGCACAAGACTACATTATGGAATGGTTTGTAGTGCCCTCGAGTGTTGGAAACTAGTAATATTTCTCTTGACATGAAGGGAAAATCTAACCTAACTGGAAGCGGCCCAGAAAATGTCCCCTAGTTGTCCCATAAATATTTGGGTTGATATTACCTGTACAGGTTAAGCAAGGATGATCAGTAATGATCTAGGCAGAGTTCAGGTGTGCAGTAGTGTATGTTCCTCTGGTCTGCCATGCTGGTCAAGGCAATGCTGAACTTCCACTAGATTATTATGCCCCTGTCCTTACCTAACCTGTACAGGTCCATGGATCATAGAGCAGGAACACTTTGAGAGTAGCTATAGTAGACAGAAGCGACACAGGAGTAAAAACTTCTACATTTGTTTTTTAATTGTCTGACTAAAACTGTCCCAGCTATTTACACCATACAAGCTAGATATGCATCAAGAATATAAAGGGTTTACATGTATATACATTACTTATATAAGCCACCTTATATGCCCAAAATTAATATATAACTTGTTATTCACTCATAGTCCTTTCATTTCCTTAGAAATAAATTGCAAAGGTAAAACAAGAGCTATACCAACAGGTTAACTGGCTGACATAGTTTGGTTTCGGTACAAGAAAAAGAGGCAAATTATGAGAATGTTGCCTCTGACCTTATAATAGTGGTAGCAAAGCTCTAAAGATGAAGAACAAGGCCTGTCAGAGAGAAACAGTAGGTAGTAGCTAGATATATATACACAATCCCAGACAGAAGAGGCCTAATGATTTAGGAGATATACCACAGACATTGTTGAGTTGTCTATCCCCGGTCTATGGTAAGGTGTTGCCTCCTTGACTGGTCTTGACCAGACATTCCTTTTTACCACAACCACTGCCTCAGCAAGACCAGGATAAATATGGGGTTGAGGCAGATACATGCAATAACCTTTTAGCTGTTGATGAGTAAAGGAAACAGCTCAACAACATTCTCTTGATTATAAATAAAAAAAATAATAGATTAGCAAAGTAACCACCACAAACACCACTTTGTGATTATAACCTTTACATTGGTTGAATCATTTTGAACAGGTTAAGTCCAGTCACTGGTTCAGTTATAACAGGATTTAAGTTAGATACGATGTCACAGTGTTGTTTAGAAACAAATTATTGAATGTTGCATTATAAAATTGAGAAGCCTAAAGAAGGGGCATTGGGCTATCGAATCACATTCAAATCTAACAATCACAATTCACTTAATTGTCAAACTGTACTTGATCACAAGACCTCACTGCTAGAGACCAGATACATTACGAGATACACCCATATAGCCACGTTTTGGAAATAGAGCCCAAACATCAACGTATTATGGATTGAATATCACAATAGTTATACTAAATTAATGAATTAATCAACCAATCACCAGATAGACTGAACAGGTGACACATCTGCTTTCCTTGACTAAAAATGCAACCACAAGATCAATCACAAAACAAGTGGAAAAGAGATATTAAAATACAATAAAGAGCAGTTCAATGGACGGACCGTATGTCACAACCAACACATAACTAAAACACATTTCCTCCATATTTTGTCATTCCAAAAACAGTAAGCTTAACCGTCTTAGTAACAGAAAGGGTACACTTGAACTGTACTGAATTTAAACAAGGGTTTACAAATTAATTATAGAAATATAAGTATGAGTCAAATATGTGCTATTAGTGTAAAAAGGCAAGTTGTTTATCTTAAATTAAAACACAATTGATCATAAAATCAGTCAATACTGTATCTAGGATGTCAGTTGATCATCTAACTAACATGAATGTAAAAGGCTCTATGTTTTTTTCTTAATCAGCTCAGTGCCCTCAAGCTCACCTCCTAGACTTTCAACTGTCACCTAAACCCTCCAATATGCAAAATCATACAATATAGACTGTGCATACCATCTATAAAGTCTATCAAGATACCTGATCATATAGTTAAATACTTTGTTCTGAGGTCCATTAGCTCACCTTGTGAAATTAAAAAACATGGCTATAGCTAGTTAAATAAATATACATTACTGTTTCAACGAAAAGGCTATGTGTGTGGTTGGTTGAGCGCCACTCTTCCATTATCTGAGTGTACTGTATGTACCAGGGATACAGGAAGAGTTCAACACCATAATGCATCATGGGACATCAGCTTGCACCAAGCCCAATAACCACAAATCACATCCACCCTTAGCTTTGGCACATAAAACAGCACAGGCTAACTGCACTCCTGTGAGATAACATGGGAAAATATACTGTATCTTTGTGTGCTCGCGCCAATATAATATTTGGAAAAGCCTATTACACTTTGATGGTTAAGTTGAGTGCTACTGGCACAAAGTGATAGACAGGATACCAAGACAGCCACAGACTCTTTGTTTTACAGCACTCACCTAACCTTTAGATGTAGCTATTTCTTCTATTGGCAAAATGTCAGATTATCTCATACAAAGATACCGTATGACATATAATGTATAGTCATGTGCTTTCCTTTCCTTCTTTTACATATAGAGTCAACCATATCTCCATCTGTGCTTCTTCTGTACAGTACTAGCTGCAGTTGACATGAATAAAGGCATCAGAGGGAAAGAAACAGGCGGATGGAAAGAGATAAATAAGGATGGGAGGATGGATGAAGGGAGGGGGAAAGGAAGGGAAGCCATCATGAGTTTCTTTCGTCTGGATTTTCCATTATAGATTGACTTAGATGCACTATCCCACTCATAAATAATACAAATGATCATGATTTAAAAAATACCATGTCTAGTGCTGATGATTCATATAAAAGCACTCCTCTGTGCAGGGCTACATACAGTGATTATGAAACCTTTTGTTCAAATAAGTTCTCTATTGCGTTACAGTAGTACAGACTGTTTAGTCAGAGTCTTTAGCCTCAAGAAGACTGAAATGCTCAGCAGGGTTTTGCCCAGCACGTTGATTCTGTCTCCCCCTCCCTAACCCCCAATCATCTCTGACTCTTAACCGCTAACACTTGCTCTACCACAGAGGGGATAGTGCATCAATTACATGAAACAGTTCTAAAACACACACTCCTAGGCATCCCCTTAAAGCCCCTGCCAACCCCTTGCCGACCCCAGCCTGCACAGTGCAGAGGGCGGCCTCTAGTGGCCACCGCCAGAGTTGCTGCTCCCCGTTGTCCAATCAATGATGATGAAGCTCAAACTCATGGTCATGAAGGCGACCCCCAGACCAGCGAAACAAGCGGCCTGAGAGGGCAGAGGAAACACCATCATTAGAATGTTTTTTAATGGGGTAACCATAATCATACAGTAACCATAAGGACACAATACTCATTATATAGATCATATTACAATTATCATGGAGAGGCTTAGAAAGATGCCATCATGATATGGTGATATAGCATATGGCTAGGGTGAGACAGGGGAGAGAATGAGATATCTGCTCACCAGTATCTTGGGGGTGGAGTGCATGGGCTCCTGCTCCTTAGGCACGATGCGGATGTAGAAGACAGCAGGGAAGATAAAGATGAGACAGGGGGCAGACGTGGCACCTGGAGGAGGAAGAGGATGGAGGAAGAGGAGGAGGGATGAAGATCAGGAGCTACAGTTTACAGTTCTAGGTTTAATCTGTGCAACTAACCGATAATGCCGAAGATTCCCAGGATGTTGGGGGCGAAGATGACCAACATGTTGATGAAGGAGAGCAGGGCGACGGCGATGGCCACGTGACGAACCCAGTTAAATGACTTACTGGCAAAGAACATCTGATCCAGAGCCCTGCGCACCTGAGAGGATAGAGAGAGAGAGAGAGATGGAGAGGGGCAGAGAGAGAGTGAGAGAGAGAGAGAGATGGAGAGGGGCAGAGAGAGAAGGAGGGAGGGAGGGGGAGAGAGAGAGAGAGGGAAAAAGGCAGTCAAGTAAAGGAATCAGTGAGTTACTGTCAGAAACAACCGGGTCATTCCACTTCAAATGAGCATCTCAATTCAGCAAGCCATGACAGCCGTCATTTCAGATGAAGACATGAGGAATCCAAATGATTGGTCAAAAACCACCCATGGACCCCCCAGACCCCACGCCAATCCCACCCCAACGGCCAGTATACAATATCAGTTCTCTGTCTTTTAGAGGAGGGAAGAGTGTATAGTGGAGGGGGGTAACTTACTGGGAAGAGCACGATGGGGACGGTCAGTGTGACAGCGGTGAGGACAGCCAATCGCACGCACAGGATCAGCGTGTCATAGGGGTCAATCCTGCTGTATGTGTGCAGCAGCTCTGACTCAGTCTTACCTGTAAAGGTAACATCAGTGGGAACGTCAAGAGGTACAGTATTATACACTAAAACCCCAAACTAAGCCTTACTTATGTTGACTGAGACATTGATGACTGCTGTTCCTCATTGAAACACATAATCCAACATGTCACAAGGTATAACATAATAGTAGTGTAGTGTGCATTATTACATAATGACCACAAGGGGGAGTTATGCTCCTATTTCCAATAGAGTGAGGAAACTCGCTGCAAACAAGTGTTTGGGTAATAATTATTTATTATTGTAACTGACATTGCAACTGTTCAATAACATTAAATATGTTCATGAGGGCACAGGGGAGTGTCCCATATGGATATTATCTTTATGTTAAATTCTACACAGGGTTGGGTGGGGAGTAACGGATTACATGTAATCTGTTGCATGTAAGGGATTACAAAGAAACGGTAACTGTAATCCATTACATTACCAGCAAAAATATTGTAATCAGATTACAGATGCTTAAAAAAAAACTAGATGACTACTTCGAAGATTACTTTTATATTCATAAAGGATATTTCTAAATGTGTATTTGAACCCAATAATGGTTGAATTCAAGAAGTTTAAGCTGCCTATCAATCATTGTTCTTGAAACCAGTGGACAGCCAGTGAAAAATGCGCTCTTGCAACAGCTGCATAGTGCAGATCCTAGCCTATGGAATAAAAGTGGCTTTTTTATTGCTCAATCTAATTCATGCTGATTTAATCCATAGTCCTAATGGACACATGGTCAAACTCGCACACTTTTGATAGACTTAAAGGTGCAATCTGTAGTTGCTACATCCATTTTTGGACTTATAAATTATATATATTAATGTAAAGATATACTTTAATTGTATTATTATATGTAGTAGAAAGTGATGGGTTAGGAGAAGCCTACATAACCAACCCATAAAGTAAAATGTAACATCCATATATTGCCAGCTATGTAAACTTTAACATTGATTTATCCTGCAATAGATGTTGTTCAATTGGTAACATACATTTTTGTCTTCTTCTAATGCCTCTTAAGGGGAAAGTAATCTAAAAGTAACTGAATGTAATCAGATTACGTTACTGAGTTTGGGTAATCCAAAAGTTACATTACTGATTACAATTTTGGACAGGTAACTAGTAACTGTAATGGATTACATTTAGAAAGTAACCTACCCAACCCTGATTATACATTACTGCACACCTAGTCTCGTGGCCTATGCGGCATTCGTTTTGTATCTTATGCATGCTAGCTTGTTGTAAGTCAGAAAAAATATTAGAAACATAATGACTCTTTGGAACTCCACAGGCTTTCGAAACGTAACGTGAGAAGCCTGGCCTCCGAGGCTATAGCACACATAATCAGGAGTACGGTTTATTTCAGCCAGAGGAAAGGGCAGGGGTTAAAGTGGTGAAGCGGAGGTGCTCACCGTAAAAGGTCAGGTAGCCGAAGAGAGCAGCCAGGAAGTACATGGTGTACATCACAAGGATCGAGAGGTTGGAGACGTGCTGCATCCTCCTCTGAGTAGGGCTGGATAACACACACACATATACTGGTTAACGTCACAGCCAACACTGACAAGAAAATTGTGTGGTTCCAATCCAATGGCTCAGTTGGTTTGGGGTAGGAGCATTGTTTGCATGGTGCTCGCAACACCAGGTGTTGTGGGTTTGAATCCCACATGGGCCACATATCCTATACACATGTCACAGGAGGTTGATGGCACCTTAATTGGGGAGGACGGGCTCGTGGTAATGGCTGGAGCGGAATTTGTAGAATGGTATCAAGGACATCAAAAAACATGGTATCCATGTGTTTTTCATGCCATTCCATTTGCTCCATTCCAGACATTATTATGAGCTGTCCTCCCCTCAGCAGCCTCCCGTGATACATGCAGGAACCTATGAACATAGGTTTTGTGCTGACACTAGGCAGGCACTGTGTGGAAACAGACGGAGTAGGGTAGGGTAGGGCAGGCACACTCACTTGCGGAGCTCAGTGTAGATAGGCAGAACCTCAGGATGACACACAAAGGCAAAGGCCAGGATGGGGATGGTATACGCTGTCTGTAAAGGAAGCACACAAACGCCTAGTGTTACCATAGACCACAGACCAACCTCAGAGGGACTGCTCATTTACTAATCTACTAGACTTACATGGCCTGCACCTTTGCAGTACATAGGTGAGCAAAGACTGCGTTTCAAATAGTACCCTATTCCCTATGTAGTGCACTACTTTTGACCAGCTATGGTCAAAAGTACTTTACTACATAGGGAATAGGGTGCTATTTGGGACACAGACAAAGTGAACGAGGGTAATGGTGAAACATTGGGCCTCAAGTCTGGTGTGCTGTACTGTACCTGAGAGTTCATGGTGAACATGCGTGCACCGCAGTGGGAGTCATCCATCTCGTGTACCAGACCATTATCATTGGTAGCATGGTTGTCAGTGATGTTTAGGTGAATGTCGAGGTGAGACACTGTGTGATTGGCTGCTGAGAACTCCTCGAAGGGACAGGGGATCTGAAACTTCTTATAGATCACCTGTAGGGAGAGTGGGGAAGAGGAAGGAGAGAGAGGAGGATGATGAGAGAGAGGGAGAAAGAGAGAGAGGTAGGATACACGTCAAGCTATGCAGCAACAGGTCTCAGAGATCAGTGTCATGTGTTTTTTTTGTTAGATTTTTTATATGAAGAAACAGAGGGACTGGGAGGAGAAAGATGAGGGGGGAGAGATGATGGGGAAGGGGGGAAGAAGGATGGATGGAGAGATGAAGGAGGGATGAGGAGGGAAGGAGAGGGAGTATCACGGAGCCCAGAAAAGCCATTTCACAGTAGATTAGAGTGAGTCAGTCTAAGGAATTTGGTTGAGCTCTTTCCCTTTCATGTGTTTAGCTGCTTTGATTACTGCCATCAACTCAAACCATTCCCATATATGAAATACCTATGAAAATAGATACAGGGATAAGGAGATCTGCCAAGTTATGAGTGACAAATCACATAATCCTTTATCCACTGAACTGACTTTTTAAATATTTCCTGTATATAGTATGCTTACTTACTTTATTGTGTATTTCATATTTCCTATTCTTATTTCTCATGTTTTTTTTTCTTCTAGTAATACATTGTTATTGATTATTGCATTGTTGGATTTTGAGTTTGCAAGAAAGGCATTTCACTGTATTTGTGCATGTGGCATTAAAACTTGAAACGTACTAAGATGAACTTAACGAATGGAGAGAGAGGATGGAGAAGTAAACATACCGCACTGAGGAAGAATACCATGCAGCTAAGGGAGAAACCACTAGTGTAGCCCAGGTAGCCTGTAGAGCACAAAACAATGACAAATCTTATGTTAGAAACAATGGAATAGAATTGTGAGTTCATTTCCATTCAACCCACATCTACTGATTGCTGGAGTTGTAATTTACAGGGAGGTTTTCTATAGTGTTATATGAAGGAGTTGGGTGATTACACTAGAATTGGAGAAAGGCCCCCTCCAATTACATGTCTTTAACATGGACATGAGTGCCAGTGTAGAGTGAAAGGAGGTGATTGCTGCGCTTGATTTCTTGAAATTAAATCAGTGTGCTACAGGTGCGTGGAGCCACCATGATTGCCAGTGCATGCAGTGTGTGTGGATGCAGGGTTTCATCTGTGTTAGTGTTGTCTTTTGCTTGTCTACTACATAAGAGGCTAATTGGGCCCCTGACATTTCCACGGCAGCACCAATACCTGGGCAGGAGAGAGGGAGCGGTGTGAGGGTCTGATTGGCTGCTGTGTCACATGACCCAGGAGTGTTGTCAATGTTGTCAGGACCTCCACATGTGCCCTCAGCAGGTGACACGCATGTCAATGGGAGCCTTATTACACTCCTCTCTATTCTTCCACCTCACCTTATTATAATTGAATGACAAACATACATACTGTGCATTCGGAAAGTCCAGACCCCTTGACTTTTTCCACATTTTGTTTTGTTACAGCCTTAATCTAAAATGGTTTTAAATGTTTTTTTCCCTCATCAAGCTAAACACAATAACCCATAATGACAAAGCAAAAACAGGTTCTTAGAAATGTTTGCTAATTACAAAAAAAAGAAAAACTGAAATAACACATTTACATAAGTATTCAGACCCTTTATTCAGTACTTTGTTGAAGCACCTTTGGCAGCGATTACGGCCTCAAGTCTTCTTGGGTATGTTGCTACAAGCTTGACACACCTGTATTTGGGGAGTTTCTCCCATTCTTCTCTGCAGATGCTCTCAAGCTCTGTCGGGTTAGATGGGGAGCGTCGCTGCACAGCTATTTTCAGGTCTCTCCAGAGATGTTCGATCGGGTTCAAGTCCGGGTTCTGGCTGGGCCACTCAAGGACATTTAGAGACTTGTGCCAGGTTTCCTCCAGATGTGATGCTTGGCATTCAAGCCAAAGAGTTCAATCTTGGTTTCATCAGACCAGAGAATCTTGTTTCTCATGGTCTGAGAGTCCTTTAGGTGCTCCAAGCGAGCTGTCATGTGCCTTTTACTGAGGAGTGGCTTCCGTTTGGCCACTCTACCATAAAGGCCTTATTGTTGGAGTGCTACAGAGATGGATTGTCCTTCTGGAATGTTCTCCCACCTCCACATAGGAACTCTGGAGCTCTGTCAGAGTGACCATCAGGTTCTTGATCACCTCCCTGACCAAGGCCCTTCTCCCCGATTGCTCAGTTTGGCCAGGCGGCCAGCTCTAGGAAGAGTCTTGGTGGTTCCAAACTTCTTCCATTTAAGAATGATGGTGGCCACTGTGTTCTTGGGGACCTTCAATGCTGCATAAATGTTTTGGTACCCTTCCCCAGATCTGTGCCTCGACACAATCCTGTCTCGGAGCTCTACGGACAATTCTTTCGACCTCATGGCTTGATTTTTGCTCTGACATGCACTGTCAACTGTGGGACCTTATATAGACAGGTGTGTGCCTTTTCAAATCATGTCCAATCAATTTCATTTACCACAGGTGGACTCCAATCAAGTTGTAGAAACATCTCAAGGATGATCAATGGAAACAGGATGCACCTGAGCTCAATTTCGAGTCTCATAGCAAAGGGTCTGAATACTTATGTACATTTATTTTTTAATACATTTGCAAACATTTCTAAAAACCTGTTTTCACTTTGTCATTATAGGGTATTGTGTGTAGATTGATGAGATTTTTTATTTATTTAATCAATTTTAGAATAAGGCTGTAACATAACAAAATGTGGAAAAAGTGAAGGGGTCTGAATATTTTCCGAATGCAATGTACATACATACATACATATGCCATTTAGCAGATGCTTTTATCCAAAGCGACTTACATCTGCATGGGTGGTCCTAGCGGGAATGGACACAACGATCCCTGGCATTGCGAGCGCCATGCTCTACCAACTGAGTCACACAATTACACCCTTCTGTACTTCTCCACTTCATCACTTCACCTCGATTTACTGGAGTGTAGCTCTCACATCTAACCACATGTTACCGTTAATTAGTAAAAATAAAAAAACTTTTCAGTTTTCAGGGGAACCCAATTGAGACCAGTGTCTCATTTACAATGCTGCCCTGAGAGCAAGAAACCATGAATAAAGCAAAAAATAAAAATAAAAATATATATATATATACAAGACAGCAATAAATACATTACATCATGTTATTACAAGTTATAATAATAATTTTAAACAATTGCACACTTCAGTGAACTAATTTAACAACAGAGTTTTAAACTGCCCTATCGGCACCACGGAATCCAGGTGTAATTTGATTTGTAAGGTATTCCATAACTGTGGTGCATTAAAACTAAAGGCGGATTACCCTAACTTTGTGGAGACAAGCAGGACCTCAAGAGTCAACCAGCCCTGCGAACGGGTTTGGAAACGTGTGGAGCAGAGCTTTGTAAACAAGAAGGGAGTAATGAAGTGATCTACGGGACTTTAGTGAGGTCTAGCCGACCTTCTGATACAGGATGCATTGATGAGTATTAAAACTGTCACCTGTGATAAAGTGAAGTGCGCTATGGTACACTGCATCCAAAGGTTTAAGAGTAGTAGCTGCTGCATTCTGGTAAATGGTGTCACCATAGTCAAGAACTGGCAGGAAAGTTGAGTGAATATGTAGCCCATTTCCGTGAATTAGAGAACAACATATATTTTGTTTTGCCCGGATTAAGTACAAGTTTTAAATCAACAAGGGCTTTCTGTAATGTAATAACCAGATTGCAGCTCTAACATAGCTTGATCAACAGTCGGTGCAATGGCATACATACAGTGGGGGAAAAAAGTATTTAGTCAGCCACCAATTGTGCAAGTTCTCCCACTTAAAAAGATGAGAGAGGCCTGTAACTTTCATCATAGGTACACGTCAACTATGACAGACAAATTGAGAAAAAAAAATCCAGAAAAACCCATTGTAGGATTTTTAATGAATTTATTTGCAAATTATGGTGGAAAATAAGTATTTGGTCACCTACAAACAAGCAAGATTTCTGGCTCTCACAGACCTGTAACTTCTTCTTTAAGAGGCTCCTCTGTCCTCCACTTGTTACCTGTATTAATGGCACCTGTTTGAACTTGTTATCAGTATAAAAGACACCTGTCCACAACCTCAAACAGTCACACTCCAAACTTCACAATGGCCAAGACCAAATAGCTGTCAAAGGACACCAAAAACAAAATTGTAGACCTGCACCAGGCTGGGAAGACTGAATCTGCAATAGGTAAGCAGCTTGGTTTGAAGAAATCAACTGTGGGAGCAATTATTAGGAAATGGAAGACATACAAGACCACTGATAATCTCCCTCGATCTGGGGCTCCACGCAAGATCTCACCCCGTGGGGTCAAAATGATCACAAGAACGGTGAGCAAAAATCCCAGAACCACACAGGGGGACCTAGTGAATGACCTGCAGAGAGCTGGGACCAAAGTAACAAAGCCAACCATCAGTAACACACTACGCCGCCAGGGACTCAAATCCTGCAGTGCGAGACGTGTCCCCCTGCTTAAGCCAGTACATGTCCAGGCCCGTCTGAAGTGCATTTGGATGATCCAGAAGAGGATTGGGAGAATGTCATATGGTCAGATGAAACCAAAATATAACTTTTTGGTAAAAACTCAACTCGTCATGTTTGGAGGACAAAGAATGCTGAGTTGCATCCAAAGAACACCATACCTACTGTGAAGCATGGGGTTGGAAACATCATGCTTTGGGGCTGTTTTTCTGCAAAGGGACCAGGACGACTGATCCGTGTAAAGGAAAGAATGAATGGGGCCATGTATCGTGAGATTTTGAGTGAAACCCTCCTTCCATCAGCAAGGGCATTGAAGATGAAACGTGGCTGGGTCTTTCAGCATGACAATGATCCCAAACACACCGCCCGGGCAACGAAGGAGTGGCTTCGTAAGAAGCATTTCAAGGTCCTGGAGTGACCTAGCCAGTCTCCAGATCTCAACCCCATAGAAAATCTTTGGAGGGAGTTGAAAGTCTGTGTTGCCCAGCGACAGCCCCAAAACATCACTGCTCTAGAGGAGATCTGCATGGAGGAATGGGCCAAAATACCAGCAACAGTGTGTGAAAACCTTGTGAAGACTTACAGAAAACGTTTGACCTGTGTCATTGCCAACAAAGGGTATATAACAAAGTATTGAGAAACTTTTGTTATTGACCAAATACTTATTTTCCACCATCATATGTCAATAAATTCATTAAAAATCCTACAATGTGATTTTCTGGATTTTTTTTTCTCATTTTGTCTGTCATAGTTGACGTGTACCTATGATGAAAATTACAGGCCTCTCTCATCTTTTTAAGTGGGAGAACTTGCACAATTGGTGGCTGACTAAATACTTTTTTTCCCCACTGTAACTGTATCGTCTACATTCAGGATTTAATACATAGACCAATATTATTTATATAAATAGTAAAGACAACAGGTCTCAAAATTACCCCTGCAGTACACCTTTCGTAATATCGAGGAAACTACACATTGTGTCCTGTCTGTCAAATAGTTCTTAAACAGGTCGATTTCAGACAGTTTTTGAATAAGTAGGGAATCGTCAACGGTGTCAAATGCCTTGGAGAGGTCTATAAATAAGGCAGCACAATGTTTTTTATGATCTAGGCAATTTAACACATCATCTAAAACAAGTATAGTTGCTGAAACAATGCTATGTCCAGATCTAAAACCAGGTTGGTGCATATAGAGTGCATTTAGAATAGAGTGAGAAGTTAAAAAGGTTCTTAGCTGGGAGCTGGTCAGGGATTTGAATACCTTGGCAAGGCAAGTTAACTTGTCAGAAGGATCTCTGCCTTTATGTAGGGGGATGACGTGCTGCTTTCCAAATCTTAGGGATAACACCAGTAGCAATTGTCAAGTTTAAAGTAAATGTTAAAGGTTCAACAATGAGTGGGGCAGAGAGCTGTAGTAAGAAGGGGTCAAGTGAATCAACCCCTGTGGATTTATTTACATCGATCTTTAGCACGGCACTTAATACAGCATAGACATCAAATGGTTGAAATTAAAATAAAATATGTGAGTCTATTAGAGCATAATTCTCTACACTCTATTCTGAGGTGACTAAAGGACTCCCTCTAGTGGAATGAGATACATTTTCATAGACTATCCTTTCAAACAGGTGGCCAGCTGAAGCAAAATGGTTATTAAAAGCACTACACATTTCCATTTAGTCTAGTATGGGACCAGAGGCTGTCAACCTGCTGGGGCTACGAGGGGGTGGAGTTTTGTTTAAAAGATTTGACTGGATTACCACCATTTTCCGATACACAATTCAAGAAATACGTTGATTTCGGTTTTATAATGTAATTATTATTTATAATGTAATGATTGGTTGACCTAATGTAAAGCTGGCCGTGGCTTTCATAAGACACTTTACTGTTGGTGGTGTAGTGGTGGTTCAGTGAACTACACTATTAATTAGTAACCTTGCCGGAGACCTGAAGATTCATGTTAGCTCCCAGAGCCTAATGGCTTGGCTTTAGCTCAGTTAAGTAAAACAGTATTGAGTTGTGTAGACAACACAGGTTTGTTACCTGGTTGGTGACACATACGAGGTTAGAGGAGAGGAGAAGAGGAGAAAAGGTGCAACTTACCCAGCTGCTTCATCAGGGCCAATGGAAGGATAACGCTAATAGAGACCATGATAACCAAGTAGTTCCCATTCAAGTACCACAAACTAGAGAGAGAGAGAGAGAGAGAGAGAGAGAGAGAGAGAGAGAGAGAGCGGAGAGAGGGAAAATAAGAGGAGGAGGTTACTTACAGCAGGGGTTTTCAAACTGGGGTCCGCAAATAATTTTTTATTTATTTGGGGGGGAATCTTTTTTTAAAATTAATATCGCTAGCTGCAACAGAATGCCACTGTGGATACCGTTTTTATGTCTCCGCGTTCAGTATCAAGGAAGTTAGAGGTAGATTCACTAACCAATGATTACTAGTGTTAGCGTAATGACTGGAAGTTTACAGCAGGGTTCCCCAACTGGCGGCCCGCAGTTGATTATATTTGGCCCCCCAAGTTCTCTTTTTAGTTAATTTTTTATCAAAATAAATTCATTGTGGGACATAAAAGACTGTAAAAACACCAGCAAATCAGCTCCAAGTGATTTTAATTTTGGAAATCTGTTCCAAAGTATTCCCACGCATAATAGAGAGATATATGTGATCGTATACAAATGTAAGCAAGGTTTGAAATTATTATGTTTTAGTCATTAAAACCTATCCAAATCAAAAAACGTGGGTAGATGGCAGCATTCGCACAAAACTGAAAGCGCAAACCACCGCATTTAACCACGGCAAGGTGACTGGGAATATGGTAGAGTACAAACAGTCCAGTTATGGCAATCAAACAAGCAAAACGTCAGTACAGAGACAAAGTGTCACAATTCAACGGCTCAGACACGACTCCAGACAATCACAGATTATAAAGTGAAAACCTGCCACGTCGCAGACACGGACGTCTTGCTCCTGGACAAGTTAAACACCTTCTTCGCCCGCTTCGAGGGAAACACAGTGCCGCCGACCCGGGCCACCACCGCTCCCGCGTACGGTGAGCACTCGTTCTCCGTGGTAAGACATTTAAGCGTGTTAAGCCTCGAAAGGCTGCATGCCCAGATGGCATCCCTAACCGCATCCTCAGAGCATGCGCATATCAGCTGGGTAGAGTGTTTACGGACATATTAAATCTCTCCCTATCCCAGTCTGTTGTACCCACTTGCTTCAACATTGCCACCATTATTCCTGTACCCAAGAAAGCGAAGGTAACTGTCCTAAATGACTATCGTCCCGTAACACTCACTTCTGTCATCATGAATTGCTTTGAGAGGCTAATTAAGGATCACATCACCACCTTACCCGACACCATAGACCCACTGCAATTTGCATTCCACCCCAATAAATCCACGGATGACGCAATCGCCATTGCACTGCACCCTGCCCTATCCCATCTGGACAAGAGGAATACCTATGTAAGAATGCTATTAACTACAGCTCAGCCTTCAACACCATAGTACCCTCCAAGCTGATCATTAAGCTCAGGGTCCTGGGTCTGAACCCCACCCTATGCAACTGGGTCCTGGACTTCCTGACGGGCCGCCCCCAGGTGGTGAAGGTAGGCAACAACACCTCCACTACGTTGATCCTCAACACAGGGGCCCCACATGCTTCAAGATGGCCACCATTGTTCCTGTATCCAAGAAAGCAAAGGTAGCTGAACTAAATGACTATCGCCCCGTAGCACTCACCTCTGTCATCATGAAGTGCTTTGAGAGACTAGTCAAGGATCATATCACCTCTACCTTACTTGTCACCCTAGACCCACTTCAAATTGCTTACCGCCCCAATAGATCCACAGACAATGCAATCGCCATCACACTGCACACTGCCCTATCCAAACTGGACAAGAGGAATACCTATGTAAGAATGTTGTTCATTGACTATAGCTCAGCATTCAACACAATAGTACCCTCCAAGTTCATCATTAAGCTTGAGGCCATGGGTCTGAACCCCGCCCTGTGCAACTGGGGCCTGGACTTCCTGACGGACCGCACCCAGGTGGTGAAGGTAGGAAACAACACCTCCACTTCACTGATCCTCAACACTGGGGCCCCACAAGGGTGTGTGCTCAGCCCCCTCCTGTACTCCCTGTACACCCATGACTGCATGGCCACGCACGTCTCCAACTCAATCACTAAGATTGCAACCGACACAACATTGTTAGGCCTGATTACCAACAATGACGAGATAGCCTACAGGGAAGAGGTGAGGGCCTTGGCAGAGTGGTGCCAGGAAAATAACCTCTCCCTCAACGTCTACAAAAAGAAGGAGCTGATCGTGGACTTCAGGAGACAGCAGATGGAGCACGCACCCATCCACATCGACGGGGCCGCAGTGGAGAAGTTGAAAAACGTAAAGTTCCTAGGCGTACACATCACTGACAATCTGAAATGGTCTACAAACACAGACAGTGTGGTGAAGAAGGAGACTGAAGAAATGTTGCTTGGCCCATAAGACCCTTACAAACTTTTACAGATGCACCATTGAGAGCATCCTGTCAGGCTGTATCACCGTCTGGTACGGCAACTGCACCGTCCGCAACCGCAGGGCTCTCCAGAGGGTTGTGCAGTCTGCCCAATGCATCACCAGGGGCACACTGCCTGCTCTCCAGGACATCTACAGTGGCTTGCGAAAGTATTCACCCCCCTTGGCATTTTTCCTATTTTGTTGCCTTACAACCTGGAATTAAAATATATTTTTGGGGGGTTTGTATCATTTGATTTACACAACATGCCTACCACTTTGAAGATGCAAAATCTTTTTTTATTGTGAAACAAACAACCAATAAAACAAAAAAACTGAAAACTTGAGCGTGCATAACTATTCACCCCCCCAAAGTCAATACTTTGTAGAGCCACCTTTTGCAGCAATTACAGGTGCAAGTCTCTTGGGGTACAGTGGGGAAAAAAAATATTTAGTCAGCCACCAATTGTGCAAGTTCTCCCACTTAAAAAGATGAGAGAGGCCTGTAATTTTCATCATAGGTACACGTCAACTATGACAGACAAAATGAGGAAAAAAATCCAGAAAATCACATTGTAGGATTTTTAATGAATTTATTTGCAAATTATGGTGGAAAATAAGTATTTGGTCAATAACAAAAGTTTCTCAATACTTTGTTATATACCCTTTGTTGGCAATGACACAGGTCAATTTCTATTTTGGTTTCATCTGACCATATGAAATTCTCCCAATCCTCTTCTGGATCATCCAAATGCACTCTAGCAAACTTCAGACGGGCCTGGACATGTACTGGCTTAAGCAGGGGGACACGTCTGGCACTGCAGGATTTGAGTCCCTGGTGGCGTAGTGTGTTACTGATGGTAAGCTTTGTTACTTTGGTCCCAGCTCTCTGCAGGTCATTCACTAGGTCCCCCCGTGTGGTTCTGGGATTTTTGCTCACCGTTCTTGTGATCATTTTGACCCCACAGGGTGAGATCTTGCGTGGAGCCCCAGATCGAGGGAGATTATCAGTGATCTTGTATGTCTTCCATTTCCTAATAATTGCTCCCACAGTTGATTTCTTCAAACCAAGCTGCATACCTATTGCAGATTCAGTCTTCCCAGCCTGGTGCAGGTCTACAATTTTGTTTCTGGTGTCCTTTGACAGCTCTTTGGTCTTGGCCATAGTGGAGTTTGGAGTGTGACTGTTTGAGGTTGTGGACAGGTGTCTTTTATACTGATAACAAGTTCAAACAGGTGCCACTAATACAGGTAACAAGTGGAGGACAGAGGAGCCTCTTAAAGAAGAAGTTACAGGTATGTGAGAGCCAGAAATCTTGCTTGTTTGTAGGTGACCAAATACTTATTTTCCACCATAATTTGCAAATAAATTCATTAAAAATCCTACAATGTGATTTTCTGGAAAAAGAAATCTCAATTTGTCTGTCATAGTTGACGTGTACCTATGATGAAAGTTACAGGCCTCTCTCATCTTTTTAAGTGGGAGAACTTGCACAATTGGTGGCTGACTAAATACTTTTTTCCCCCACTGTATACTGAGATCATGTGACAGATCATGTGACACTTAGATTGCACACAGGTGGACTTTATTTAACTAATTATGTGACTTCTGAAGGTAATTGTTTGCACCAGATCTTATTTAGGGGCTTCATAGCAAAGGGGGTGAATACCTATACACGCACCACTTTTCCGTTATTTTTTTTATTTTTTTCACTTCACCAATTTGGACTATTTTGTGTATGTCCATTACATGAAATCCTAATAAAAATCAATTTAAATTACAGGTTGAAATGCAACAAAATAGGAAAAACGCCAATGGGGATGAATACTTTTGCAAGGCACTGTATAGCACCCGGTGTCACAGGAAGATCAACAAGGACCTCAGCCACCCGAGCCACGGCCTGTTCATCCCACTACCATCCAGATGTTAAATAGTCACCACTAGCTGGCGTCTGACCAGTACACTTCCCTGAACGTTAGTCACTGTCACTAGATGGCTACCACCTGGATACTCTACCATGCACCTTAGAGGCTGCTTCCCTATGTACATAGTCACTTTAATAATGGAAAACTGGTCACTTTAAATAATATTTATATACAGTTTTACTCACTTCATATGTATATACTGTATTGTAGTCAAGGCATAAGCTATTTAACTATTGCTGTGCATATACTATTATTCAGATATACTACATATTCTATACTGTCCATATTGTCTATACACCACATCACACACACACTGGGGCGAAGTTTCACCTTCCAACAGGACAACAACCCTAAGCACACAGCCAAGACAACGCAGGAGTGGCTTCGGGACAAGTCCCCATCCAACCTGACAGAGGATGAGAGGATCTGCAGAGAAGAATGGGAGAAACTCCCCAAATACAGGTGTGCCAAGCTTGTAGTGTCATACCCAATAAGACTTGAGGCTGTAATCGCTGCCAAAGGTGCTTCAACAAAGTACTGAGTAAAGGTTCTGAATACTTATGTAAATGTTTTTGCTTTGTCATTATGGGGTATTGTGTGTAGATTAATGAGGGAAAAAAACTATTTAATCAATTTTAGAATAAGGCTGTAACGTAACAAAATGTGGAAAAAGTCAAGGGGTCTGAAAACTTTCCAAATGCACTGTATATACACATATATACATATATACATACATAC